CAATTACACTCTAATTGCATCATAGGAAAAACAAACGTAGCCACCGGTGTCCAAACATTCTAACAGAACGAGGACAAGAAATTCCGTTGAAGATTCCTCGGTTAATTAGAATCATCCAAACTCGTATTTCCATTGGCCAGCAAGTTTTGCCGGAAGGCGTCGGGGAACATTTAGCGTGCATTCTAATCGAAACGATCCGTGCCGAAGAGAATGGCAGTGAATCGCTTCGCTTCCTCGTTCAGCTGGTCCCCGGCGAAGCTGATTCGCTGGGACCAGTGCCGATTACTAGTTTCCAAACCGAACCGTTTAGCATCCATGCAAAAAAGATTCTCGATGATGCCCGAACATCGTTACTAAGCCGTCGCTACGCCGATGTGAGCGATCTAACAGAAAAGGAACGGAGAAACGCACCGTAGGAGCAATGCCCCTTGGGTCAGGGTCAGTACCCTTTGGCACAAGCCACTCGAACCACAGCCACGCACGCGAAACACGCACACACGAGGCCTCGACTCGCGACGAAACACGCACACCTGCGTGCACCTCGGGATTTTTGGCGATCATCGGTATTAGTTGTTAGAAACGAGTATCCTCGTGACTATTGTTAATCAGAACAGGTTCCATCGTTTCAGACAGACTGTTATGTAATGGCTGGTAAAAAAATCAATAAACTTTTGATCCTACCAAGCTTCCCTTTCGAGAAAATTAATTTTCAGAACTCTTATAGCACACCTGACTACTATTACTCTTAAAGTATTTCGCAATTTTGTTCGCTCTCGCTAAATAAGGACCCAGAATAAGAAAGTACGTTCGCATGTTAACAGTTTTCATTTAAACTCGTTTAATGCCTTGGGGGTTAGCGATAACTGGCGCCACAGATGTAACGCAATCATATAATTGACGAATTTAAAGGAATAATTTTGTCAAGCATCTGTTCGTCTACGAGGATCAACGTCGTTATGAATCGTTCTACTTGAAAGGTCGATCGAGCGAACGGGCAACCGAAAGAGATCTTGTTATGCAAAGAAGTGCGCGACTAGGTTTCGTTTCTCATTCGGCCAGCTGTAGCTCGGACGCGATCTGAAATTATAATGGTAACGCAGCTCTGTTCTGGATTACCGTTTCTTGTCGGTCGTTGGTCGGTCCCTTTGACTGGGTCTATCACGATTCAAAGACCGGCTAGACGAGCAGGTACCATTCACCTGCATGGACTCGGACAACCTTGGTCGTCGAGTCTAGGAATCTACGTCTAGCCTGTGTCTAGCCAAGCCGAGCATGACTATGGACTATCGCAGTTTCTATCGTTCTTCTCGAGGTCGCACCGTCGGTTTCTATGACCGTGAAAGTATTCCTGGTTCGTGTATTCTTTAGCCGTCTTGAAGGAGTCGAATGTTCAAAAGGTAACACCACTAATTCGACCTCCAATTAGTTTGTGTCTATTCAGCGAGTAATTTCTTAATTCAGAAAAGAGCTTTTTGGGTAATAGCTGGAAATTAAGGCTCTTAGGAAAATTTTGTATTCTATGCAACTAATAGCCCGCGGCGAAATGGTTGAACGCTTAGAGAAAGAAGACTCAATTCAAAAGCGTATGATGCTTGAAATCTTTATGATGAATTTTAAGAGCATTGAAATGTCAGAACACGCGATGGTATTACGCGGTGCTTTATACATAAACAGAATATCAAACACAGAATGGGACTTTTCAAGTTGTAACTTTTTTCACGAAGTAGACTTTTTGGCTTGTTCCGATTCGTCGATCCATCTCTTTGGATGTCCAACGCTCCTTCTTCCAGCCGGTTTATAGCGAAAAGCTAGTTTTGGCAAGCGTTCATCGGCCATTCCAAGAATATGTATAGATGCCAATTTCTCCCAATACTTTTCTATTTTATCACTCGTGGCAAATATGTTGAGCCTTGAGTATCCTCTAACTTCCTTACACGAATTTCATTTCAATTTATGTCAATATTCCTCCAAAGTTTTATGTAAGAACGAGATAAAGAGGAAGCTGTATTCACAGCGGTAATTAACACGGTACGTGACTCTTTCGAGCGAGCATCGAGTTCGGAGAGTTTCATTTTTGGTCATCGAATTCGCGAATCCCGCGAATAAGGGTTGTATAATGGGCAGAAATCGTTGCGCGTGTCGATAAAATTGTGGCAAGAATTTCCAGTAAATTGCCGGTTGCTGGGTTACTTTCTTGCACGAGGAGTTTCTTCGTAATTGCCGCGGTGTGTCCGGTTCATAGGCGCTAACTTTCTTACGCTAACTGCCAGTCCGACGGCCCGGTTCCAGCCGGGTAATTAGGAAGGTAGCAATTGGATCCCCTCTCGTCTTTTCGATCTTTGAGAAATCGCATTAATCTCCTACCAGCACCCAGAAGATTGTAATCGATCTGATGCCCCATGATTCTGTCTACCATCGTTCGTTAGATCCCCCCCAAAAAAAAAAAATGTAATCTTCTCGAAACAAAATTCTACGTACTGAAAACTATAACAATTTGCATGCAAAGAGACTTTAGTCTACCGGTGGAAAGCGTTGAATCGAGAGGGTTAAATGATCCCATGAAACACGCGATCTCGTCAAAGCATTAACAGCGATGCTGTTTCGAGGATACCGGAATGTATTGTACCTTTGAATACAAAGTTGCACGAAGCAGCCTCTTACAGCGTGCTCGAACCAGCAATTATTTAAATCAAAAGACTTCTCTTCTATGGATACGCTAGCTTTCGAACTCGACAGTGTCCCCGATCGACCGGTTTGTATCGAGCCACGAGAAATGTTCTGTATTGCATAGACTGTGCTCTACGTGCTCCAAGAAACTCGTGCAAGGACCGATAAAGGATAGAGATAAGAATTGCCAGGAAGAAGGGAAACGTATATCGGTCGTTCGAAATGTAACATTAGTTACAGACGTTCGCCGACTCGCTTAAATTGGCGATTTCTTCGTTTCCGATAGAGCGACGGTTGTTCTAGAAACTGGAAACTGTACGTTTGCTTTTCTCGTTTCCCCATAGGGAAGCATGTATTTTCTGTTTCACCGGAACTGCTCGATACCGAGTCGGTAATTTCGTCGGGATACCGAGCCAACGTTTCAACAGCTAGCCCAGTTTCGTCGATCGCGAGTCTCCTCGTAATCGAAATAAAAGGAGAGTCGTTAAGGACGAACCGAGAGGCCGGAAATTATCTACCTCTCGATGTCGCCCCTTTAACGAACGCTCTCGAACGACGTGCCCCGCGTTCACCCTTTCTGAATCAGGGACGATCGTTGAGAATCGAAGGAGGCAACGAACCAATCAGATCTTCGATCGACAGGGTTCGGAAAACGAGGTCGCACCCCTTCGTTGCGCGACGCTCGCGGGGACCACCGCCCTCGCGAGATAACGCATTGTTGATAACTCAGACTATGAGATTACTGGGGAATTTAATTTAGTCAGATGATTCGGAAATAATGAAAGGAGTAACACGTTTCACGTCAAGTTTGTGAAAGAAGAACCGTCTTAGGATTAATATTAAATTTTTATCGATGCTGTTTCCGTCCCATTTTCGATATCACACCCTCCCTAGGGGAGCGTCGAAGAGGGTGAAACGACTCCTTTATAACGAGATGAAACGTCAACGGCGCCAGGTGAAAACCTACAGGAAAATGAAGACCGACGACGGGAGTCAAGATGTTCGTAAAGGGAATATAAATGATTGCGTTGCACTGCTTTAGAGATCTCCTTGCACCTCTAGATCCTATTTCAGACCTCGAAGAAATCTGCTGAGCGTAGACGTGGTTATTTGTCGGGCACAAAGTGTTCGTCCCAAAAAAACGAAAGGGAGGAAAGAAAACGACGATGACAATATCATAGAATTTCCAACGAGATATTCGTCGTGTTAAACGCGAAACCTTATGATACGTGTCCTTTGCAGAAAGATTAGACGAGATAAGAGTTTCTCGTTATGCTTCATCTACCGATAAGGTGACCGACGGTCTTGCGACGAAGTTACTATACATCTCGCGTGCCTCTTGATATTTTATTGTACCGTTATCTGTTCTTATCGGACATCGTACTTGCCGCGTCATTCGTTGTTCATTATCCGAAAGTCCTGTCGAACAGGCTCGCTTGATTCGCAAGGGAATAAAACCTTTGCCTCGTAAATTTTATTCCTTCTAGAGTCTAAATCCACTCACAAGAATTAAAACTCTTACATCAATTAATATCCTTGTATCCTATTTGTTACGTTCTTATAAAGGGTAGTAAATCCGTGAAATTGGAAGAAAATGAATTAAATTCCGCTCGATCAGCGCTCAACTAAGCGAGAAAGGGAACGATGAATTTCTGTTTCGAGCGATAGCCGAGGAAACGAAGTCGCGTAACGGGGGCGGGATGTTCCGTTTCGCTGTCAATTTCCTTGACAGATAACCCCTCTTCCGTTATTCAGGATCACACCGGGAACTGTGGCTCGAGGATATCGGGGCGGAGGCTGGCCGTGTGCATCCATCAAGAAGGGTTAGAAACGTAGCTACGGGCCTATAAACCGATAGTATCTCGCAGCCGTTGACCCAGTTTTTTCCACTTCGTAACACGCCGTAGGAGAAAAGTTCTCGCTCGAAGGAATCGAATTGGCGCGGTTTAAAAGTAGAAATACCATGTCCCGGCGCGTTTATCCACGCGACCCAGCTCGTAAATCTACCGCGAATTCCGTTGAATTACTCGGAATTCTCGCGCCGCTGTAAATTCTCGGATTAAAAACTTTTAATCGTGGCTGAGACTGGCCGCAGAGAACGCCAGATCCTGGACCTTGCAACTTCGTAACAGCCGGCCCACGCGATTACGTGTCCGTTCAAGGTGTGGATGACCGGTTCTCCGCTTCGAAACGTTCCGTCTTTAGACCAAAGTAACGCCACCTTTTCCTTTAGAGTCGTTTCGTAAAATTTTAAGAACGATCGCAGTAGATAGAAATAAATTATACCAATTACGATAAATTCTTACGATTCAGCTGTTTTCTTCTGCTTTTAGCTGGTGAACGGCCTCGATGGACCCAGGTACATTTGCGAGACCGAGGTCATGGAGGAGGTAAACGTAGCTAACGCCACCCCCGTGGAATACACTCCCCCAGGGAATCATACCAATAAAAACTCCAACGGGAACATCATTACGCTTACCCTCAAGAACAACCATCTCATCGTAGAGACCGAGGAACGAGCAGTGAGTATATTAAACACCAGGTTGGGAATTATCCACGAGCAAAAGTCAACGCGGAGGAACAGTATTCTTGTAGATCGATCCGACGTCGATATTCGGCACAGACGCGAACTATTTTTACGGTCGATTCGCCAAGGGGGTGAATACTCGATTTTGTTGTCGGACAAAGGACTTCTTCCATGAATCCAATTAAATGGAACTCGTCGATAATTGGACGCCAGGTTCATTAGTGGTTCGCGTGCTATGGATTGCGAAGGGGATTGGGACGTGGAAAACGGGTGAAAACATTTCGTGCAGCGTGTAATAACCGAAATGTCGGTTAATTCGCTCGAAAAACGAGGCTGGTTCAAGGCACGGAGGAGAAGAATTATTGATTAGCTTTGAAAAAAGGGAGTCGCGATTAATTTCGGAAAATCGATCGTTCAAAAGGGTGGAAATTCAAGCTCGTCTCGAAAGGAAAAGGTGGGTTTAACCGAACATCGATCGGTCCTTTATCCAACCAGGTGTCCCAGCACCCTCGACTCACCGAGATACGAGGAAACAAAGGTTCCTGGCTCCTCTACTGGTTGCGTCGCGTAAGTCGCGACACGGAATAATCGGCATCCAAGGTACAATAAGGGTGCAACAGGTGCGGTAAGGTCGACGAATCGACAAATCGGGTGGAGAAAATGGGGCGATAGCTTGCTGCTTGTAACCAATTAACCTGATCGTTACACGCAACATTTGTTTCTATTGGGAACTTCTTACGTTATTATTGTACCAGTGTAACACTTTTTCACCGTTATCTAGGATCTCCCATCGCGTGTTCACGCTGAAAAGGGACTAGGCGAAGACCAGGCGAGATTAATACCTGCTTTTGTTCGAGCGTGTCGACAAGGGCATCCGTGAAATCGATCCTTCGCTCGGAGATTCGTGCAGCTGGGTCAGCCACTGGTTCCCCTTTGACAGGGATAACAGGTTCGCAATTATCAGGACTCGTACGGCCCTGTAAGGTCGAAGGTTACCAGGCAATTTCGCCTCCGCCTATCGTCCTACTTACGGGCTCAGGCTTATCCGTGGAAACTCATCTTGCCGGGGATCCTCGAAACCCGCTACGTTACTTCCTTCTCCTCTCGTATGGATTACGGCAAAATTTCATTGAAGGAATGCTTTGAAAGTAAATACGAAAGTGGATGTTTATTAAAAGCAACTGCTCGAATTCGTCAAAAGTAATCTTAATCGTGTCAAAGCGACTGAATTAATACCCTTGGAATTAGTAATTTCTCAGCGAATTCAGCAGAAAATACATCTAAACTCGTGAAACTTGGTCCAGCTTCGATAACTTTGTTAGAGTAATCTTATTCTCACGGGTTCTATTTACCCAGCCACGTAAACAGGACGACAACTAACAGGTAGAAGAATCCCCCGAGGAACGAGCCGAATGTTCAAAGACAAGCATCAGTCGAGGACCTTCGATCGAAACTTTGTCCCTTCTTCTTTTTACCCCTGGCTGACACGAGTACACGATCAAGCTACGCGCACTCTAAACCGTGGGACGCGATCGAACAACGAAAGGGCGTGGATCCCCAAAACGAGTCCCTAAATCCGAGGTAAGTCTTCGCGTAGCCCGAGTACGAGGAGTAAGCAAGTCCGTTAATCGACAGATAAGCAGAACCAACTTGCCTCGGCTCGGGACGCGTACATGGAAGTTGAATGTCCGTGCTTCCGCGGTGATAAACCGATGCGATCTGCTGATATCGTCCGAAAGAAGAAGATTATCATCAGAGAAACTTGTCACCGTGGAAAATTCGAGTTGTTGAATTGTTTCGATTGGAAACGCGAGCAAAATAAAAATAAATAAATCTGTTGTTGCTGGACTACAAGTGTTTGGAATACAAACGTTTTACAATGCTTCCTCCTTGAAGGAATGTAAAAATCGCACGATAGCAAGAGGACAAATAAAAAAGAACAAGGAACGAAAGGGGTCTTAAGGGGTGGATGCCCGGGATGCTTGGACGTAATACTTGGCTTGGCGCCAAGACGCGGTATTCACCCTTGGTCGCGTGGAATACCCTCAGAATTCGAGAAACACTCACACTATCCAGGCTAGAAGTGTTTCTTTCGAATGAAGCGTGCTTCGTTGAAGACTATTCTCCGTTCAAATCTATCGCATCCGTTTCTTCTACGTCGAATCAAATCGAAGGGAGCAATCGACCCTCCGAGGCTTCGATATTTTCCCTTCTTTGAAAAACTTTATCCGATCGCCGAGAACAGCGGGAAATCAAGAATTCCCGGTCCTGATTTGGGTAAATTTTTCCATCGATTTTTTTATCATTATTTTTATTCACCCGAATCAAATAAAAATAACCAGTTTTCGATTGGTTTCAACGTCAGCGGCTCGAGAGATTATAAAAACAAAAGAAATAATTTGGGTTATAAAAGGTTATTAACTAGCAGCCGGTATAAATAACGGCTAGAAGGGGGCACGAACTGCGCGTCAACCGTTTAGTAGAGCATCCGGGATCAGTAACGCGTGATCGGTAATCTCGCACCCTATTATGCATCGATTAATTTATTACGTGGAAGATTGAATTCTCGGCGAACCGTTCCCCTTATGATCTCGATAAGCAAACATATTTATACATATAATATCGTAATGCGATCATATCGTAGACAGTATACAGGTTGTCTCAAAATCGGTAGCATAATCTCAAACGAGATAATTTTACATAAAACAGTTTTCTAGCAAAATAGACCTACCTTTGCGTTGCATCTCTTAGGGTATACTGCTCACCTATGTATTTGCTTTTAATCTGCTCCACCCAGCTATCGCCAGCTTCTTCCCGAATTTTCACCAAGGTATTCGCATTCAATTTGTGGTCCATGTTCTCCGTCCACTTTCCGAATAAACAGCAATTTCGCGCAGCTCGTCGCTGAAACATAAAGTGCGATCTTTAATAATCGCGTGCCAGGTAAAGGCGGAGAAAGTGGGAGAGTAACAACGGGTGCAAAAGGTGAACGCGAAGCAACTCATCGTGGGCTTCCCCTTTGCTCGCGTTCGTAAGCCACTCGAAAGCGGAAGCGTCCCGAGTCTTTGAATTATGGCTGTTTCCAGAGACTCGGCTTTTCGAAAATGGTCCCGGTTACTACGACTTTCTTCGTACCTAGCTGAGATTTCGAGCTAGACTTCCAAAGTGGAACGAATGGCGACACCGTCCAATTTTCCTTTTCGCCTGGACAAACACCCTCTTTTTCTTCCTACTACAATCCCCTAGAGATATACTTTTTCCTATTTTCTCACTCGGTAGATTCTTACGGTTTCTCGTGTCACGCGTCATCAGGATTCTACGGACCGTCTCCAGCGGACGATTCGTCGATTTGATCCATCGTAGGAATGTGAGTGGACACTTCGATGGGGGTGGTGAAAAACTGCGAGACTCGCGAGTCAACACCTCCGGGAGTTACTTTCTAAGAGAAATCGTGAAATAGAAGTCACTTTGCTTTTTCTTCTTTTTCTCTTAACGCCTGATGACGCCTCTTTGTCCTTCAGACTTGGAGGAACGACAAAGGTGCTATCGGTTCGACAGATTCCGTTTCCCCTTGTTGAACTACTAACCACGAGCACTCGGGGAAGTTTCTTGAAGAACGATCCCGTGGTGAACGCGACGTGATTCCTCGCTAAAAGGTCTTTATGGATCAATGGAACCGCTTTTCCTTTGAAAATTCTACGATATTGGTGGAAATTTCTAACAGATAGTGATCGATGGACTACATTTTTGGCTGTCGCTCTACTATGTTCAATTAAAATTCAGAAAATGGAAAATTTCATAGACCGACGCACCCCTATCGAGGGAGCTTATCGATCCACCGAAACAGCGTCGAGAATATAGCTGAAATAGAAATAAAGCTTGCGAGACTAGAGGTTCGTTCCAGCGCGATTTATGAATCATAAAAGATACGTCGTTCCAGCGACACGATGATACTTTTGTTTACGACCGTTTGGCAACCGTCGGGAGACTGGTCGAGTTTTCAGCCGTCGTTTTGTGAATACGTTTCTTCATCGACGTTCTCGATACTCCGTAACGCGAGAGCGACATGGCCCGCAGGAAAATGTTGCTCGTTCAGGTCCAGTTTGCGAGAAACGTGTTGGAATTGCAACAGAACGAACAATAGTGAGGAACTAATTCCGCGGTCGAGTCGGCTAACTTCCAGCTGCATTTATATACGCCTCGCGGCTAGGTCTGCCTCTAAACTAGAAACATCGGCCGGGAAATCCACTAGGGCGGAAATTAATTTTCTAGTTTCGACGTGTCGGCTACGAAAGAACAGATATCGTTTTGTTGGATTATCCTTTATATCCATATAAAATTTCAACGACGATTAATACGTACCATGGATAGATATCTTTTTACAGCACGAGCAATAAACGCATTTTATCGTCGTGATAATGGAGTATGCGTCGGTTAATGAAAAATAAAAAGTCCTGAGAAGAAGTTAACGAAGTTTGTTTCGTGTTACAGGTGACGATGGAGGATAATAAAAATCGTAGGTACCAAGATAACGGATGCTCGTTCGTGGTGGAGGTGCAACCTAACTACCAGAACGAAGAGACCGAGGGTAATAAAGGAGGTTCCTCTGACGACGTAACCGCTGCTGTGACCGATCAACAAGCTCTAGTTCACAGAGAAGAGATTGCAGAAGATCGATCGCCGGGTATATATCGAAGATTGTAACGATCCCGTTCGAAACGAGGATTCTATGTTCAATAGAAACTGTATTCTATTCTGTCGCAGGTTTCGAGAAAGCAAAACTATTTGGAAGCACGAACACGGGTCTATCGCAGTCGGATCTCTCGATCTCTAGCCAGGGCTCGGTTAATCCCAGCTATCGTTATGGAAATCAAGTGGAGTACGATGCGGGTCATCTGGGTTACCCGATGTACGGTGGTAGTTACGAGTCCGATACCCTGTCCCGGAAACTCGAGGGAGGATCCAAATGGGTGGAATTCGACAAGTCTCCGGATACCGAGAAGACGTTGCTGAACGTGTCCAACACGTCCAGTATCGAGAAAGACGGCGAGGAAAGTGTGAGTAATCCCCATCAGAAATCGAGCAACGCGTGTTCGAAATAAATTTCATCTCGACAAAGATCAATGTTCTTCTGTTCAGCCGTCGATACAAGGGAAACAGAACAACTTGGACGCGTCGCAGGGATCCGGTGGATCGATGGATCAGCAAGATTCGACGGACGCCAGTATCTCCACGGACACGGTGCGATCGAACCCCAATCTCCAGGTGAACGGCGCCACCCCGAACAAGCTGGAAATCATGGAACAAAAAGCGCTGAGCAACGATTTCGGCAAATCTGAAACCAATAAACCAGTGATCACCGGGGCGTTGTTGAAAGACGACGTTCAAGAGGACACTTTTCAGGAACAGCAACGAAAGCTGGGTAATGGAACCCTCACGCCGGAGCACAAGGAGGACAGGGCAAAGGACCAGAAACCGGAAGGCAGCACCTTTGTGCCGAGTCACAAGCGTTCCGGTAGCATCCCGCCGCGATTGATCGAAGAGACCCTCGAGTTAGACCGGAAGAAGTCGTTGGACATTTACAGTCAAATTAAAACCAGTACTAAAAGCATCCTACCAGGACTGAGCACAAAGTTTGAGCTACTTCAGAACGAAGTGAGTCCCATCGAGGAAAAGGAGAGTTAATGGAAATGGCTCGTTGTCCTTCGTGACTCGTCTCAGATGAAAATCCGACATCGAACGATCCGATTCGACAGACAGAGACGCTTTTACGTGGGTTTTGGATAAATACGGTTCATCGTTAGGACGATCTTGCTACGAAACCTCGAAAGTCCAGAGAGGGAAGGTCCCTTTCCTGAATATTCACACGGGAGCCAAATCAAAAGAAAAACGACCACCGGTTTTCATCTGCGCCATTAACAGTTTTTATTTCACGAAAAAGTCCAAACTCATTGTAGATATCTCATCAACGCTAACGAGCGACTCCATCCTCCTGAAGCGTTCCCAGAAACTCCCGGAAATTCCGAAGCTTTCCCAGGAACTTTGGCAATATCAGAGAAACAGCAGTTCCATCAGGTGTCCTGCATTAACCGTAGCGGTTTCGCTCGAAGAACTCAAGCGGCGCGGCGGAAGAGGACTGGTGAGAAGAAGAGCGATAAAAAGAGGTCACGTCCGAGTTTGCCTACGATAAAATCATCGAGGGAGAAAATCACGGCGGATCGATGCGAACGGTAGAAGCTGGCAGTGACCAGAGAAAATGCTCGTATCCAGAGGAAACTGCGTTATCCTAATGACTAACCACGGTTCCCAACCCTTAACTCTCACCCCCTTTCACGCCGTTATCTCTACCTTCCTTCTCTTTCCAGCCTCGCCCTTTTCTCCCACGGAGAACAATCGTTGGCTAACGAACTGAACACGGTGCCGCGAATTTCGCGGCCGTGGTTTTGTGCGTGGAGCAACCGCAACCACGCGAAGAGAGCACCGCAATTGTCCGCAACGAGCACTCGAATCAAGCGTTGCGCGGAATTGTTTGCCGAGAGGGGTTGCGATCGTGTATGTGTTCAAAATTCGAGGATTTAATAGAAAAGAGAAAAATTGTGGAATTTCGATCAGCGAAGCGGACTGTGCTCCTCGAGGAAAAAAACTGGAAAATATTTTGAAAATAAAAAGCCGTCCAGGTCGTCGATATCGCAAGATACACGAGCAAGCATTTGGAAACTAAACTGGCAAAGTTTCGTCTATAGGGAAAGAAACATAAACGCGTGTCACTTTCTTCCTTCCCTCTTTTCCGCCGCTTGTCTCCTCCTTCGATCACGCTGGGCTTTCTCCTCGCTGCGAGTTTCGCGAAGGAAAACTCGTTTCACCATGTATGTAACTTTCGAGGCTGAGAAACGATCTCGTGACTCGCGTTTTGCACGACGATCCGTTTCAGCGAGAAACACGCGTTTAAAGGGACCGATCGACAGAGTCTTCGAGCGGATTCCGTAATCTTTTATAAGCATGCACGTTAAAGATGTGGGGACACGCACGTCGAATTTTGTAAGTGGTTCTAGGAATCGTAGCGACAGGTTCCATTCGACTAATGCAGTTTTACAAACGACGAACCAGATTTACTAAGAATTTTCTATTGTCCAAACACGTAGGTACGAAATAGATAATTAAGCGTCGTAATTGGAACGCTATTAAGTGTCCGGATCGGTAGGACGTAAGATTTCGATCGTGGATTATGAACTTTACGTTCGATCATCGTATCCAAAAGCATTTTGTTAAACACAGAAAACATCGACAAAACGCTTTTGACCTCTGCAGCTCGAGCCAGAGATTAATCGGAACCAGCAAACGATCTTAGGTATATAAAGTACGGTAAGACGGTATAGGAGTACGCACTTAACCTCTAAAATATTGTAGAAAACAGAGTAATGCGATTCATTGATCAAAACTTGTTACATTTCAAGTAACAATCAACAGTTATAAACATTATTGAAATAATTAATAGAAAATCACACAATGTTATTTGTGTATTGTTATACATACGGAATACGATTCATAACCAATAAAAACGAATACTTATTTTTTGAAAGTGTTACATCGCATTACAACGTAAATATACTTCGCAAATGTCAAACATAAGAAATAACATGTAAGAAAAACTTCAGACTTACCTGGTTTTATAACTTCTAAACACTTTTTATCTATTTTTGGCGCGAACACTTGCACTGTACACCGGTAATGATATGATTGAACTCAGCTTCGATATGTAACCAATTTCACTCGAAGCTACAGCGGATCGACTGATCGACTGATCGACTAATCGACTGCGCGCTCTTATACCAGCTTACCGTATCAAGTGAACAGTACGTTAAGCACGAGGTTCGCGACTCGAGGAAGTCGGACAAAAACAACAACAGAGGCTTAAAAGTTAACGTGGATTCTAGTGCCAAAATAGTTCCTTAAGGTTTCTCGAGAGCAACTCGACGAACGTATTGCCGAACGACTATTACTCGACGATCTTATATTACGTGTATGTACGTTTCGTGCCAGATACTGCGTTACCAATATTTCAGATTTTATACGCTTCCGTTGAATAGTGCAAACGTTTGTTGTTGTTATGGTGCTACTGCGTATGAATCCACGGGACGAGGAGCTGTTCTCGGCTTCCACGTTCTCGTTTCTTCGTTCGTCGCGCCTCATTTGGCTTTCACACAACAAATTCGGTAAGAATCAACGTCCTTCTGATTGTACTTTGGAGACGAGCCTTTCGGTTGCTTCGAGCGACGCTCTTTCCATTTAGACATTGTAAAAATCCATGAAAAACCCCTGTCCACTTTTGCAACTCCTTTTTTAACTCTGGGACACCCAATCCTATAATAAATACTGTGATTCGACCGACTGGGAACAACAATACGTCAGAATTTTTACGCGTCACGATAGCTGAACGTTCAAAATCATCCACTTTAATAGCTACCAATTAGAACGACGTCGCTCGCAAGCAACTAATCGTTAGACTCGAAAAGTTCGCATCTCGTGTAAAGCCATTATCGAGCCCGAGCCGATGAAAGCGATCACTACGAAACACGTACACACACTCATCGAAAAGTATTCACCGTCTACGTAAGATGATAGATTATAGCGCATTTAGAGACTAAGTACACCCCGTACGTAAGAATCTTTTAGCCGTAATCTCGATCCCTTAAGAGAAAAAAAAAGAAGAAGAAGAAGAAGAAATAACAGGCTCGATTCATTTACCGACTCGTGCGTATCTCTCCTCGACGCTCGAGTATCATCTCCCGCTTTTACATTGCTAACGAGTAAGTCTAGTTTCCAGGTTTAGCGATTCTCGTGTGGCTGTTACTAGCTGGTGTTAGAGGTCTAACTGTGGACAAGTATAAATTTTCTATAAGACCTGAATGTCTCGCGTATTTCTAGAAATATTCTCAGCAAAGTAGCTGGCCGTGTAGCGGTCGATCGATCGGCGACTATTTAGGTCGTCTTCGAGTCGATCTCGAGCACTTTGAAACGCACGGTTCGTGTAACGAGAAGTATCCTCTCGTCAAGGGAACGCTCAAGATCGGCGCGAGGCCGAGTCACGCTTTGTAAGAGGAAAACCATTCAAGTTTCTTTCACGTAAACGCTCTGATATTCTATCGCATCGCGCATCGCCAACTCGTAAGGACACTTTAGAGATAATTACTCGTAGAAACTGGTCGAAGTAAGACACGAATTAACGATTAAGCGAGACGCGGATCTCCGCGATCCCGGCACACAACCGTTCCATATGATCAATTAAAAAGAAAAAGAAAAAGAAAAAGAAAAAGAAAAAAATCGAATCGTAGTAATTTAAGCGAACGACGGACAGAGAGCAGTGTCGGTTAAACTTGGGCTTGGACGATATTGCGCTTTCGATCACGGATTACGTTTTCACTCGTTCGGCTAAGTTTCAGCACGGCCCTCCCTTACGTTTGTCCTCTCGCTCCCTCCTGCCACGAGGTAGGGAATTCGGAGCGGATCGAAACGAATCAAAGTCCGAAAGTAACTTTGTCCATCGTGCTGCATAGTTGTACGCTGGAGTCGACACGTGTAAGTCGTCCTAGAACGAACGTGTAGACATTCATTTTCGCTAAAGTACCATGTTGTATATGTCAATTTATTTTGCAAAATAAACCATTGGACACGAACTCTATGTCGCTTCGTTTTCCTTTATTGAATACGATTTTAAAAGTTTACTTTAATTGCTTTTTCAGGGTACGATATCGTGCGATTAACTACGGAAGATAACGTCCTGTCGGTAAGGCGATTCCGAGGGTGCACACCCCAGGAACGGAAGAACCATCGATCGAATCAGTAGTTTCGCGACAAAGGGTTGAACTGCCTTATTCACCCTCGATATTGCCCGCCATCTGGAAACGAGAACCGGAGGATTGGTGCCGTATGGCTCGACTGATACAACCCTGCCAGGGGATGAAGCACAAGGGGGTTGAACCACGAGGCTGGCGGCGCCAACGGTGAATCGGGAGAAACACGAAATATCACCGAATTATACATGCGCGTTTTTAATTCGGTAATCAATAGTAAAAACCGCTAATACATCCCCTCCATTTTTCCGCTATTTGAGATTCACCAATGCCCGACTGCCGACAACCCTTGATGATCGCGCGTGGGTGGAGCCACGAAATGACAACTCTGTATTTTCGCGGTCGATCAACGGACTTTTACGAAGGTGAGATTCTATTTTTTTTTTTCTTTTTTTATAACGCATCCATACATTGAATTAATTGAGGATTTATAAAAAAAAAAAAAAAACTCACTGCGTATCGATGCGTAATTGAAATGCAATCGAGTCAAACGGCGAGCAATCGTGTTAAATATAAATTCAAAGGATATCGAGAGTATCGGAGAACGATACATCGACATTTTTCCAAGCTAAAGCCAATTAGCTCGTGAAAGACGCGAAACGGTGGTGGACGCAAGTGGCTCGTAGTGGCAGGCACGCACAGGCCGGTCGGGCAAGCGCGTGCACCACCGTAATTACTGTATATTAAAGACGATTGCAAAAACGGGGCAGGTGCTCCGGACAGAGAGAACGAGAGAGGCCCGTTGTTAAACTCTCGAAAACCCTGTACCTCTATCTACAAGAGTTCTCAGCGGTTTTATTGTAACCCGGCCAGAGCCCTCGCGCTAATTTCCTTGCCTCTTTGCAATTTCGTTTTCGCTAAGGTGGCTTCTCGAGAGGCGGCGGCACGCTTCGCGGCGAACCGTCAGCTTCCGTTTCTCCTCGTCAATCTGGCATCGCGTAGCGTCGCGTCGCGTCAACGGGCGTGTGCTGGAGAAAAAAATCGGCCCGTAAACGAGCAACCGAAACGATTCGCTCGATCGACGAACTTTCACGTCGACGTCCCACCATCCACGAACGCTGACACGCTAGCTGGCCGCGAATCGAGGGAAACGGGACTGCCCACCCGCGCTCTTGGCCAATTATTTTTACCCGTGGAATCGAATTATCGGGCGCGGCGATTAACGCGGATTTAATCGCGCCACTCGTGTCGTCCTTCCGCGGATCGACGACGAAGGAAGCGGGGCCGGGGGAAACGGGAGCGCGGATCGAGAACGTACGTGGAGGGAAAGAAACCCGGTGATAGAGAGAATAGAAGATGGAAAAAGGGGTGGCAAAGGGCGGTAGCGTCATACCTACGCGTGGGTGACAAGAGAGCGAGGCTAAATAGGAGGTTAAGGGTGAGCGGGAAAGAGAGAGAGACAGACGGTGGATCGCTGAGATAGGCAGAGAAAGAAAAAGCAAAAGAGAAAGAAGAGAAAGAGGGGTGACGCGGGACAGAGAAGGGTGCGCTCGAGCGTCGGTACAGATACGGCATTATGAAAACACGAATGTACTTTTAAATCAATACCACCATCGCATTGTGGGGAGTGCTCTGGTGGGGGCGGCACGCTCGCATCCCGGAATACAGGAGAAGAGGGAAAGAGAGCAAGAGAAAGAAAAGGAAAAAGAGAAAGAGAAAGAGGAAGAGGAAGAGGAAGAGGAAGAGGAAAAGGTCGGTGGCGCTGCCACACGGGAATCGGCGGAGGAGCAAAAGGGGTGTCATAAAAGGATAGGATAGGCTGTGGGGGGTGACGGTGGCAGGAGGTGGCCACGAGGGTGGCGGAGAAACGATTCAGCCGGGTGAAAAGTATGATCACCGGTTACGCCGTTGCTCAGCCTCGTAACAAGAACGACGCGTTTCACTTGCCGCGAGAATGGCTTTTGACAACGCGATCCGTCCTCGTCGACGCTTTGCAAGCGTCTCGATGCCGCGGGACGCTTCGTTGTTAATCGTCGTTTTTTGCCCACCGACGACGCACCACCGTTATCCCCCTTTTTTCGCCAGACGCCAACCTGCCCACCAGCGAAACGAGAACAAACGACTTTGCGCTCGTATTTTCCATCGGAATCGGAACTGGGTTCGATTCGAACCGTATACAAATTGGGACGAGAGTCACGCCGTTCGAATCGATTAATCCGGTCAGCTGAATTTTGATCGATGCGCGACAGAGAAAGTATCGGGGGATTATTAAAACATAGAGCGCGGAAAAAAGTGAAAAAAAGTGAAAAAAGAGGAAATAAAATGAAACAAAAATGAAACAAAAAAAAAACAAAAAACAACCAGAACGACGAAGGTTGCTCTCCGCACAGTGCACGGGTAAACGGGAACAAATTGGCGGAGAGGAATATTTATTTTCAATAATATCGATGTCGCGATTTCCGATGTACGTAGCCTTCGTAACCGTTTTAATGCATCAGCGACCGGCCAATTTATACGCGACGCGAAATTAGAGTTTACGTTAATTATTTTAATTGGTTTTGCTAATTAAGCGCAACCATTATGTAGAACCGGACAATGGTCACAAAACGGACATATTATTTGCTAAACACATTATCGTTGCCGATTACCACGACGAAACTGACGAGCCCTGTCAGGCGTTTCGTCTACTAGGTTAATTACGTTGATTAGAATCTCTCGCGTTTAACCACGGTTTGGCATTTAAAAAAAAAAAAAAAATGCTATTTTGAAATTAACTCGAAGACAAAATTCGATGTGACACACATCGAGAAGACGACACCTGATTGGAATCGAGCGAAACCCTTGATGTCGTTTCCCACCCCTTCTCGTCGTTTATCCCCTTGTTTACAAACAGGACACGCAAGGTCGCCGATCTTGAGGGAACGGAATGGCTGTCGTTCACTCGGCGTCCCTCTCCACCCTTCGGCCAAATACCTTCGGCTCGGTGGTTGTGGAAGGGTGCAACGAAACAGACTGCTCGCCGGATGTGTCGGCCGGGGGTGGGTTTTCCGATACGTAACCACCGACGGTGGCAGCCCCATCGTTCGTCGACGTCCTCTCGCAGCTTCTTATCCGATACGACTCCCTCTGTTCGTCTTCGTGCCGGTAAACATATGCCCGTGAGCCAGCCAGCACGAGCCTCGAGCACGGACAACCACATACACGACTCTACTCGAACACACACGGTCGCACGTGGAAAGGATGATGAAAGCGTGCTCGGCCACCTGTATGCTTTAACCGTGGATCGAACCTTACCTGTTACTCGTCCGGCGCACCGAGGTAGTCGGCCCGAGGCCCTCAACCGGGGATTTCCGTTTCCGGTTAAAGACACCACTTTTCCCGATTATTCTTTCCTCGGTTCGATTCCTTTCCCTCGTTTCGTCCGGCTAAGTTTCGCGATGAAACTAGAATCTCGTTTCGATCGATGATAAACGATCTATCTTCGAATTTTGATAGAAGGGTTATTCGAGATTAGAGGAACGATTTACGTAGGAGAAGGAAGAGCGAAAGTGTGAAATCGAGGAAAAGTTTCGCCAGATCGGGAGAAATAATTTGACTAACAAATCGGATCACTGGCGTGCCAGGGGGGAAACGGTTCGATTTAACGAATGGCTTGCAGTTACGCGGCAACACAACAGGTACACACCGATTATGCTTCCGTGGTTCCGGGACCGTTTCGCGGCACCGGAATCGTGGCGGCTTGTTCTCGTTTCGATCGTGTATATGCAATAATATTTCGCGTTATTCGCGCCACGACTGGCGCTCGGATTAAATCTGCCGCTCTCCAACCAGTCGAACGAATTTGAACGAAACTCAATCATGGAAAAAAAAAGAGAACACGCGGGGAAAAAAGGAGCAGCAACGCGCGGTGGGAAAAAAAAGAGGCGATCAACGAGTGGAATAAGCGAGACAGAGAGAGGGATTCCCGTTGAATCGCGAAAATCACGCGGCCATCGAGAGAAAGTGTATCGATACCGGCACTATTTCCAAGCACTTTTCAGGGTTCGAGGGACGCGGTGGCTGATGAGGGTGGCGGTGTTCCTGGCAGGGTCCCCGGGCACGTGGTGCTACTATTGATTTTAATTTTAGTGAAAGAGGTGGAAAAATTAGAAGGGTGGCACGAGGAGGGCTGACACGCGGTAGGAAGGTAAAGGGAAACGGTGAGAGAGATACAACGAGCCGAGGGAGAGAACGAAGAAGAGACGAGAACGAGCACGGAACGGTAGAAGAGAAACGCGAGTCCGCGTGAGAGACGGAAAGAGATCGCGAGAGAAAGAGAGAGAGAGGCGAAATCGGGTGAGAGCACCGCTCTGAACAGTTTCGCTTTCATTTCCCTCTTTAGCCGAAGGCAAAGGTAGTCGCAACGAGGGTGGGAGGGATCCCGTTGCCCGAGGGAAGGCAAGGAAAGGCACGAGAAGGCAAGGCAAGGCAAGGCATGGCAAGGCAAGGCAAGGCAAGGCAAAGCATGGCGAGAGGGTGAAATCGTATC